GATTGCTTTGTCTTTTAGTGGGTTTTTTGTTTGTGATCTTTTCGTTTTCAATGACAACAGAACTCCATTTCCATGAGGGTTTGTAAACCTCCTCCTCTGTGCCGGCCTTCTCTCCTTATAAACTGATACACTTTCATCATCCCAAACACCTGAGCTTTTTCGTCATCCCAAACACCTGAGCCTTTTTTGTCATCCCAAACACCTGAGCTTTTTCGTCCTCCCAAACACCTGAGCCTTTTTTGTCATCCCAAACACCTGAGCTTTTTCGTCCTCCCAAACACCTGAGCCTTTTTTGTCATCCCAAACACCTGAGCTTTTTCGTCCTCCCAAACACCTGAGCCTTTTTTGTCATCCCAAACACCTGAGCTTTTTCGTCCTCCCAAACACCTGAGCCTTTTTTGTCATCCCAAACACCTGAGCTTTTTCGTCATCCCAAACACCTGAGCCTTTTTTGTCATCCCAAACACCTGAGCCTGATTTTTACATCTACTCTTTTTTTTTTTTTTGCTTTCAAATTCGAGTAACGTTTCAAATTAACACAGCTGTTACCAGTTTATTCGTAGATTAACAGTGTCACAGATAAGCCAACTTCCAATGTTTATTCCTTCTCTAGAAGGCATTTCCAAAGCAAAGCATCTGGTGAAACACCCAAAATTAAGCTCAGGAAGGATGTTCAAAAATACTGTATTTCAAATTAACAGGGGCTGCTTTAAGGCCTCTTAGAAAAAAAACCTGCAGAAGAGACGGCAGCTACAGGAGCAAGCCCAATCTGCCTACAAAACAACTGACCGAACCTGGTTTCCTACAGCTTTTGTGTTGTTTGCCCTGTAATCCCTAGCTCCTCCTGGGCAGCCTTCCTGATAATCACTGGACAAAAATAAAGCAGTGCTCTAGCAGCCGGGCACTACTGCGGCACTGCCGGAGCGGTGCCTGCCAGCAGCGAGAGCCACCGCCGAGCCGAGCGTGCAGGAGCAGACTGACTCCCCCCAGCTTCTCCAAGCCTTGCCTTGGGGAGGAGAGGCATCCACTTGGGTAGACTTTGCCTCCCCTCACTCCAATTTTCACAAACTTCCAGGATGGGAAATAATTCCTAAGAACAGAGAGAACAGCTCGACAGCGTCATCTGCATTTTCTCACAAAACAGTCTGCAGCAGCGACCACAAAGTGAGATACTGGTCCCATTGGGTATGTCCTGGTTAGCAGTGTGAAAGAAAAAGGAAGTAAATCCATATTTAAATCACCTGGGACTAGCCTTTAAGAAAAAAAAAAAATAAAATCAAATCTCAGTAGGCAGCTTTTGTTTTCAGTTTGAAAGCAGCCAAGTTACTCATGATGAGTATTTAAGCATTTTAGTATTTTGTTCTATTAATAGATTGGAAAAAAAAAAAACCCAAACAGGATTATGAAGGGAGTCTCAGCTTTCAGGAGCACTCACTGTGCAGGCAGTACTATATAGATAAAACTGCAAACACCAGTGGTTTGCACTCCCTAGAAGATAAAACATAAATTCCTCCTCTTTGAAAAAAAAACAACAGCCAAAACCCAACAAAACACATGCACACCTAAAAAGGATCTCTCTTTGAACAGTTAGAGGACTCAATTTAAGGCAGACCACCCAAACAGTTTTAATCATGAAAAACATCAAAAAGGACATACTTCAAGTGGAACTCATTGGTATTCATTTATGATAAAATTCATGACTCATTAAAATCTCTGAACAGGGTTGTTTTTTCCCTGTTCATAACTGCTGTTTACAACTGCTTCTGAACAGAGAATCATATATTATTTCCAAGTTTATTACCATGCTGTCAACTAATTCCTGTTCAATCTATATCATATATTTGTAGTGCACCATCTGAAGCCATTTTTAATATATACTAAACTTAAACACTTTTTGTAGTACATGACAGGTGCCTCTGTGAGCAGGTTTTCATACGTCTCTAATACATATGATATATATATAATACGATATATATATAATAGGTATCTGTAATGCTTTTAGATCCATTGTAAGGTCCATATCCTTCACTTATCCTTTTGAATTTCAGTCTTTGAAGAGAAGGCCATAAAACCTGGTCTTAAACAAGAACCATTCAGCTCTCTGGCATTAATTAAGATGACTGGAATTTAAACACCCCAAAACATTTACAGGATTTCAGAATGCAGACCAATAAGGAAGGAGAGTCCCAAGGCACCCAGACTAGCTTTCTGAGGTGGTACATCTACTAGCATTATAACTATGCTTTATCCAGTGAAATTTTTAGTATTTCTTTTTTATTAAATTAAGCACAAAAAGGAAACTTCTACCCCTCAGCAAAAAAGCAGATTTTGTGTTTTGGTTTGTTTCTGGTTTTTTAAATCGGTTACTTTGCTTCCCATCGCTGAGGGATATCAAGTACCTCCATCGCCACTACATTTTATTTTGGGAAACGCTTCAGCACTTTGCAACCAGGGAGCTGATGCACACAAAGTGGATTAAAAGACTTGCTCCAGACCACATAGGAAATCTCAAGGGACGCACCTGGATCTGAGCTGCTCTCCAGACCTTTTGCTATCTACTTTTAATCTAAAGTATTCAGTTTTACAAGTAAAACTGGGGGGGGGGGCCTCTGTAGTCTGGGAAGCCAACTCGGTCAGGGTCACCTGAAGGCAATCGGTGGCAATCTGTTCAGCTTGATTACCAGAGGGAAGTTTTAACCCAGGGATTAAAAAACAATAAAATAATAATAAAAAAAATTATACATGAGAATCCAGGCTAAAGTTTTCCACCCAAATATGGAAAATAAAGCTAGAAGAGCACGGCAGCGCCAACACCGAGCGCCCACTCCTCAGTGAGCAGCCCTCACTCCACTGAGCACCCACAAGCTGGCCCACGCCACGCACCCCGCGCCCGCAGACCCCCCCGGCGACAAGGCCAGCCGGCGGGAAGCGCTGAGGGAAGGAGGCCAGAATCCCCAGGGGAGCGACACGGGGACGCGGTGGCAGGGGGTGAGGAGGAGGAGGAGGAGGAGGGCGGCGGCGGCTCGCTGCGGCCCTGCCCGCCGGCTCCCGCCGC